TTTACGGGATTGTGGACTCGCAGCGCCAGGGGGTACTCCTGCTCCTGATCGTGCAGTTCTTCGTGTACGGGTCGACCTTCGCGCACGCGGTGGTGGCCGTGCTCCCGGACGCCGAGACCGCGGGCCTGATCGCCACGATGCTCTTCAACATGACCCTGGTGTTCAACGGGGTGCTCGTCCCGCCCGTCGCCCTGCCGGGCTTCTGGACCTTCATGTACCGCGTCTCCCCGATGACCTACCTGGTCAACGCGATCATCGCCACCGGCGTGAGCGGCCGTCCCGTGCACTGCGCCGACAAGGAATTGAGCATATTCGACGTCCCACCCACTTACAGTACGTGTGGGGAATACATGGAGGCATATCTTCAGGCGGCAGGAGATGCCGCGGGTACACTCCTCAACCCCAACAGCACCGAGCAATGCCAGTACTGCCCCCTGCAGGCTGCGGATCAGTACCTGGAGGGCCGCGAGATATACTACAGCCAGCGGTGGCGCAACTTTGGCCTGCTGTGGGCGTACATCGCATTCAACGTGGTGTTCGCGCTCGCGGTGTATTACTTCTTCCGGGTGCGCTCCTGGAAGAGAAAGGTCTGATTCATCGCTCGGCACACCCCCGACTTGGAACACAGTGCGCAGGGACTTGGCCTGTAAATGGCGCTGCCATACAGGATCGTAAGAGAACATCTTACTCGGTTCCATCAAACTCCTCTTTTATTCAGTCATTTAGTTCTATCAAACTCCCCTTCAATTCCATTTTTAATCATTGATTCTTTCCTGTCGTCGCCGGATTCCACCGGTTTCTTGTGTCTGTGGTTGGTCCATCATTACCGCCCCGGTTCCTTGTGCAGTGTGTGCTGCTTGAGAAAATACCAAACACTGCCCAGAGTTGCAATTCCTTTTTTCCATCCCATGAAGGCACTTCACAAACACATCTTATGTCAACTTTCAGACTGAAGATCCGTCAGTTATATATCTCTTGAATCGTTTCATAAACCCAGACTTCAATCGCCCCATGAATGTGAGTCATAGATAAACTTTCTACAATGCCATTCATTCCTCTTCTCTGTCTCTATTACTCGTTTCTTCATAGAAAATCTATCAATGTAGTCAGTTCTACGAATTTCAATATGATAATTATTATAAAGACAAATATTTTCGAAAAAGATTGATTCTCCATCCCATCGACTTCGTTCTCCTACCGAGAATCGTCTCAAGTGACACCGTATAGCCAAAAATAGGATCCACGAATATTTCTAGAGTCCCAAGGGCAAATGGCGGAAAAGCCCTCCTAACATGGAACATGACTTACATCATCGGCGAAAGTTGCACTGTACCCGCGTCACGTGCCGAGAACCACGTGGCTCAAGCCCCAGCAGAAGCCCTAGTGGCTCAGTCCTGTGATCCAGGTCTGGTACATGCTCGCCATATCCGCGGCCATTGCAGTCTGGCATTCCACCTGTGGACAAGCAACGGACCTAAATTGGAAGAAAACAAAACACTAAAGCTGCTAGTAAAAGCGGAAAAAGGTGGCGTGATAGTCGTGGCAGGTCCCAGTCCCGACACCCGAAGGACCTTGTCAGTCACGAAAGCCGAGACCCGAGACGCTTGGCAACCGACTTCCGGTGAGGGTCGAGGTTCGCGGGGATTGAACTTACAAATATCTGGTAGCTGGCTTATCAATGACTTTTTGCTCGGTTTCGGTAGATGAGGAACTGGATGGACATTGAGAGAAGAAATGGCGAGGGGACGATTGGAAATTTATCTGGGAACAGCTTATAAATAACTATACGGCAGCTCGTCCCTGGCGGGCAGTTGGGGTTTCACTACAAACAACGCCCAAGCACCGGAAACAACAAATTGAACACCATCACCACCACACCCCTAACTCGTAACAGTGGAACGATGGACTCTCCGCTTGCACTGCCGTTCACCCTACCATGCGGGTTGCAACTCCCCAACCGACTTGTGAAAGCTGCGATGGCTGAGAAACTCGCCGACGGGGATGGGCTTCCCACGCCGACGCTCGAGCGAGCATATGAGAAATGGGGCGGCGGAGGGTGGGGGCTGATCTTGACGGGTCAGTATTATCTTAGCAATGAGCAGTAGCAGGCGGTCTTGGTGCTGCTTTGTTCATTGTCGCTGCCACAATTGTCGGCATCACGACACACACACGCATTCAGCTAATATGATTCCTATATGAGCGCGACAGGCAACGTCCAGGTCGACCACCGATACCTCAACGGCGCAGGCGACGTGACCATGAAGCCCACCGTGAGCACACACAAGCAGCTCGCGCGCTGGCGCGCCTGGGCCAGCGCCTGCACCACACCCCGCCAGACCCCAGCGATCGTGCAACTCAACCACCCAGGCCGCCAGTCTCCCATGGGCGCAGGCAGCCGCAGCCTCTGCGCGCAGAACCTAGCCCCCAGCGCCGTACCGCTGGACTTTGGTCCCGGCCTGATAGCCCAGACGATCAGCCGACTGGTCTTCGGGGTGCCCCGCGCCATGACCCAAGCCGACATCCAGACGGCGGTGCACCAGTTCGTGGACGCGGCGCGGTTGGCGGATGAGGCGGGATTCCAGGGGGTGGAGATCCACGCAGCGCACGGCTACCTCCTGGCGCAGTTTCTATCGGCGCACACGAATCACCGCACCGACGCTTATGGCGGGTCCGCTGCGCGGCGGGCCCAGTTGGTCGTCGAGATCATCCGCGCCGTTCGCGCGGCGACTCCGCCCCGGTTCTGCGTCGGGATCAAACTCAACTCGGTGGATCATCAGTCCGCTGAGGCGCTGGAGGAGTGCATTGAGCAGATGAGGTTGATTGTTGCGGCTGGGGTGGACTTCGTGGAGATTAGTGGAGGGTCGTATGAGAAGCCTACTGTGAGTTGTTGATTCCCCCTATCCCTGATATGCGATGAAGAAGTGGGGGAGGAGGTGCGTTGTAGTACGGTGCCTAACATGTTAGATAGATGATGACGAGTGAAGTCATCCAAGGACACCGACCCTCGGCTCGGACTCAAGCGCGGGAGGCGTTCTTCTTGGACTTTGCTAGCGCGATTCGGAGCTCGTTCCCAGAAGTGCCTCTGATGGTGACGGGGGGCTTCCGTACCCGCCAGGGGATGATCGACCCCCTGCAGAACGGGGACTGTGACATGATCGGACTCGGTCGACCCGCGGTGTTGCATCCGAGTCTTCCCGTAGAGGTTATTCTTAACGAGCGGGTGTCTGCCGACGAGGCGCGCTTGGTGACGGAACGGGCGCCGATCTCCTGGGCAAACAGGTGGACTAAGTTGCCAGTAATTGGAGCCGGAGATGAGAGCGTGAGTACATTTGCTTCCTTCGTCCTGGATGCGAAATCTGTGAACCTAGCTAACGATGGTTGATGTAGCGGCATTACAGTAGTCGGATCGCGGAGTTGGGGGCTTAGGCTGAGGGCTGGACCCTGAAGTTCATGGTTCACATTGGGATCTGCTAATGTGAGTATTTGAGCGGTTTTAGATCGAGTGAAGAGTGTGAGCGAGCTTTCTGAACAAGGGGAGTGAGAGCGGGATAGATCTACTTGGGTTAGAGCCCTGGAGCAATATAAGTAGCACTATCCTGTACTTCTATAATGATTAAACTTGGGGGCCCCCGCTATCAGCCCTCGAGAGCGATGGTTATATTGTGCCAAGGCAGACAGAACTGTTTCAGGTGTTAGAAATGGAGATCAGGTGTGATATGTGAAATTCCATACTCTCCAGACATGGTCTGGGTTTAGAGACGCTGAAATTTATTGATTTTTTCGTTATTCTGATGCAGATTGACAAGCGTCTGTCAGGTGACTGCCCTATGGTGCCTCAGGTACCTGCGGAATTCCACTGTTTGTGGCGTAGAAGGAAGATCTCCAGCTTCTTTCTTTCCATCACTATGTATCGAATCCCTGATAAAAACCCGAGTTTTAGATTTCGTTCCCTTCGGATGTTGTACTCCTGGAGTGATTGAGTCAAACCTGCCGGTACCAGCTCGAAAGCTGTCGGCATTCCTTGATTCCGGCCACGTGATCCGAGATGATTCACGCAGAGAACTTACGTAGTATGTACTGGTCAAGTCCGTTCAGCATAACAACCACCACAAATCCAAGACATTGTTCCACATTGCCCTTCCCTTTGTGTCATTGTTTTCTCAACGAAGGCGAGTAGGGCAAGCGCCGTGGGAGGCCAGATGGAGACCGAATGCAGGCGTTCAAGCTCTACATACTTCATTCAGCTCTACAGTGATTTTGCCCTAACTAGTCTCATCGCCGGTAGCTCGAGTCACTCAATCTTGGGAGAATCACACTGAAACAATATGTTCTATTAATACCACATTGTAGATGGGTAGAAAGGCTGATTTCTCCTCATTGCCAGGCAGGCTGAGCTGACAGATGCGCCGATGACGTAGCGAGCGGTGCGGGGTCGGGATCAACCCTGCAGCGAATCAAGCATGAGGGGCAATTCACCCCCAAGTCAGCACGAAGACTTATATTATTGGCTAATTGGGCAATCTTCGCATCAAGGGATTGCTAAGTGTCAGCTATTGACGGTCTCTACTGCAGCAAGGCGGCCAATAACCGCGGTGACAGCTGTCGACGGCCACTTAGTAGGCATCCCATGGCTACCTAAGACACAGAAGGGCTGCTGCTGCCCATACGAGAGAGAGAGCCAAACTCCCATCATCGAGTGTCTGCAGAATCACTCTGCCCATAATGATTGACTCACCGCGCCTGGTTGTTGCCCAGCATATGTCGATGACTAAATGCCGGCAGTGAGGCGGAGGGAGCTGCAACAACGCCTTGTATGCCTCATCGGGCTACACTGTCAGTTATAATGGGTCCCTGTTATTGTCAATCCCCCCCATCACTGTAAAACTTATCTCATCTTCTCTCCTGTCCCTAGGCTCAGATCCCAAACCTTACACCCACCCTTCCTTATTAACTCACACTGTTGGTGGCTTGAATTGCCGCTCGAGCCGCTCTTTCCTTGCTCTTTTTACCGTACTTGTCAACATGCAGGTCGCCGTAGAAGATGACCTTCTCTCGTTGACCCAGTCCTTATTACTCGACGATGTGCGAGTCACCGTCCTATTGTCTCGGCTCCAATTTGAACCCTATCTTAATCCGTCGCAAGATGAAACTTTGGCTATACTTGGGGGAGTAGATGAGGAGCTTCGATCGTTCCTTCGACGCATAGTTCTGCCACGGACACATATATCGCCTGCAGGTGCATATCTTGCATCGCTTCTGCGAGGATGCGGCAACACTATCAATCTAGTGGAGCGGCAGCTGCGACTTTATGGCTCCAACTACGGTGCGCGAGGTTATGTCGCCGGTCGCTGGCCACAGGCCCTGGTGGCATTGCAGCAATATAAGGCACTTCTCCGCAAAGTGCTTCGGCTCTTCAACCCCAACAGGTAAGTATGACCTCGTGATGATCGCCCCCAAACTTCATCTGACCCAGCCGAATCATTCAGTCCTCGCCCGCCATTCGAGGAACACCCACTCGCAAACCATATCGAGGACCAAAACACCATCATTCTACAGCTCTTACAAGACCAAGTCGAGTTCGAAGCCTCCCATTGGCGTGAGGTCTACCAAAGCCATGAAGAAACTGAAGTACACTCCGAGTACCCACCATCCACCTATGTTACTCCTCCCAGCAGTATCAGAGATGGAGATGACCCAGACGATCCGCCGATCCCCTTGCCACAGTTCCAGCCACGCCAAACCACCCACGAGCTCACCGCAAATGCAGCCCAAGAAGCCGGCGATCGCGAGCGGAGTCGCATATACGCTATTCTCAAGTCTATTTGGATCTGTGAGAGTCGAAGCCCGCAAGAGCATTCCAAATTTCTGGCCCACGCGATTCGTTCCAACAGCGTCGATGGGGTCAGCCTGCTACTCGATCTGGGAATTGGAGTGGACCAACCGTCCAACAAGGATCTGCCTCTATGCCTAGCTGCTAGACTGGGACACGATGAAATTGTGCAAATGCTCGTTGAGCGTGGTGCCACAATGGAAAAGCGAAGCGGGTTCGGCAGCACGGCGCTCATGTCGGCGGCGGGAGCCGGGCAGACCTCCACCATCGCTTTACTGCTAGATAACAAGGCCGACATCAACGCCCAGAGCACATCCAAAGGGGCCAGCGGCTTTACACCACTGATGAAAGCTGTGCGATCGGGGCATCAGAATGCGTGTCGACTTTTGATGGATCGGGGAGCAGGCACGGGCATTCACAACGCCGCAGGCGAGTCTTTGCTGCATGTCGCCATACAGAGCGGTCGCTCGGAGATCATCGATCTCGTCCTCGAAAGCCGCGTCCAGATTGGCGTGGCAGATCAGAATGGTAACACTGAGTTGCATCTAGCTGCTAGCAAAGGACTGGTTGGGTTGTCGACGATTCTCCTGCAGCGAATGAATACCATCGTCAAGATCGGTAACCACAAGCAGGAAACCCCACTACATCACGCCATTCGCACCAGGAGCCTCGAACTTGTAAAGATCTTTCTCGACCGAGGTGCCTTTCCAAATGCCCCGGACCATAAAGGGAGGACCGCGCTCCATTGTGCGATTGAGGAGGATTGCTCGAGTCTTGTTCGTCTTCTGCTTGAGCGAGAGGCAGACCCAGATTTCCGAGACAAGGATGGCAAGACACCGCTTCACTATGCAGTGGAGCGAGCTAATCGGGAGATCATTCAAACGTTACTTCACAAAGCGCCCGCGATGAACATCGAGGACACGAATAAAGAGACGCCGCTTCAGTACGCCGTCAAGTCTGGCAATCTCGCTGTCGTGCAGCTCCTGGTAGCGCAAGGTGCGGACCCAAAGTGGAGGGCCAGCGACGGCAAGTCTCTCGCTGAGTTTATCATGGAATTGTCGCAGTCGGAGGAGTTATCGAGCGGTATGCTGCGCGACCTTCTTCGCCAGCATAAGCCCGGGCAACCATTGGCTGTCACCTTCGGGTTTCCCGTCCTTTCAAAAGCGACAAGAGAAGGCCAAATTGCACTCGTGAGACTATTCTGTGACCACTACCCCGAACTTGTCAACGACAATCCACCAGCTGAGTCGGGGTTCTGCCCTCCACTGCATGAAGCCCTCCAGCTGTCCCCTGAGAAAACCCACCGCCGGGAGTTGATTAGTTTCTTCTATGAGCTTCCACAAACCAACCTGAATATTCTTGATTACCAGGGAAACCTACCGTTGCACCGAGCTGTGGATACATGGCACGATGGACTGCTCACCAAGCTCATCGCTAGGGGGGCTGACAAGAACAAGCCTCATGCGACCACGGGTCTGCCACCGTTGCATTATGCAGTCCACACGCAAAAGCTCCGGGCAGTTGAGGAGCTGCTAGCGAAGGAGGCAGATGCCGAGCAGCGTGTGAACGGGGAGCAGTGCGACTGGTGCAAAAGGCATTCACGACCAGCGGGCAGGAATGCGCGATGCGTGTTACTGGCTATCCCAGAAAAAGATCGCGGGCCGGACTGGGAGGCCATTAATATTCAACTGTCACAAGTACTGAACCCCCGGCCTTCTGCTCGACCGGGCTCGGCTTCTAGTGGTGGTGGAAAGACAAGGAGGAAAGTTCGCTGACATATCTAGTATACATTTTGATGTTTATGTGGGTGGGTGGGTGGGTTCATTCAGTGTGGGATTGAGAGGATGCAGGGATTAGTCACCCAGTGCGTGCAGACTCACCGTGCATGTGACTCGATGTGATGCAGGTGATTACAGGCGCTTTGGCCCTTGAGAGTGGAGGGGCTGATACCAACCTTGCAGGGAGTGGGAGTTTAAGATAGGGCTCGATGACAAGCGGTGAGTCTCTTACCCAATCCGGAATGCTGGTTCGTGACAGAAGGTTGGGTGGCGTATGACCGAGATACCTCCCTGGTACCTTATGTCCCACCATGTCTGATATTAGGGTAGTACAATCCCTGTCAACCATCGACCACGCTTGTCATCCCTTACCTTAAGGTCATCGCGTGGTCAACACGCGGGGGCTTTGACGCCTCTTTTCCAAAATCCTGCTTTCGCCCACAGCTCGCATGGTCCACTCCATTCACACTTGTTTGTCCCCTTGTCCGTAGCCCCTCGGGGGCGTCCCAATTCATCCATGCTCGCTATAAACACTTCGACTGCACACCAACGAGCTCGTCCTGGTCGGTAGTCCATGACCGTTCTCTTGTTCATGTCCATTAACCAGTCCTGCAGGTTGCTATACTTGCAAAGTGAGAAAGGTTCGATGCAAGTCTGAAGCGCAGGAGAGCTCATCCGACGGGCTATCTAGCTGTGCGTCTTGCAGACGACTAGGGCTGGAGTGCCGATGGAGCGCCCCCGTGGCCGGAGAACATTACAGCCCACCACCGAAACGACGGCAAACCATCGGTCGCAGACGTGAGCGATCGCGTTACACCAAAGCAAACAAGCCTACTGAGTCGACAGGTGGCGATAACGAGGTATCCCGGGTGAGTGGAGGGAAGCGAAGTACCGGCTATGCAGCGACGAGCCCAGTCGTCATGTGCCAAGGGTTACGGAACAAGGCAACGCTGCCAATGCCAATCAAACCTCTTCATTTGAACTGGATGCCTGCGTTGATATGCTGGGAGACCTGCCTTTCGACATCGAGTTTGGCTTGGACTTCACCCCGGTGGATTTAAATCTCCACCACGGGCCAGCCCTTCTCGACCACCGCCCGCTCTCATTGTCTGCTAGAGGGCTTGCAGACCCCACGAGTCTCACGGATTCGTTTCCCTCTCCACATAGCCTGGAGCTGCAGAGTACCACTACGCAACTGTATCCCGATAAGCAAAGCACGAATGGCGATGGCTTCTTCCCCTGGGAAATTTCCAACATAGGCGCCGAGGAGCAGCATTTGATCCAACACTATCTGACCACTATGACGGGCTACGCGAAGGTGGATGATGGTCCGCGGGGGGCTAGCAACTTATATTCCACTGCATTCTCCCAATCGCTCTCGTTCAAGCCTCTTCTGTACGCCATTCTTGCCTTCTCCGCGTCGCATTTAGCGTTGGAAGATGGCACGTATGCTGTGAAGGCGTCGCATTTCGACCAACTCGCGCATGCATCCTTTGAAGTGTGCAAACAGCACAACATCTCCGAGCCCGAGAGCCTTCTCTCGGCGCTCTTTGTTCGCGCAAAGAGGGTTCATCTTCTTGCGGGCGACGTAGAGGTCTTTCATGCTCTTGTCAACGAAGCCGCCCACATTACCATGTCTGAACGCGGACAGCGGGCGTTACAGAACCCGTGCTCGCTAGCCCAGCGGATTGTGATTCGACTAGCTATACTAGACGCTCGCGCATCCTGCTATAGGCTTGGCGGGGGCAAGCTGATCCAGTCGCTGCGCCACATTCCGGCGATGTCGTTCATCTTCGAACGGGAATCGGATGCCGCCCCAACGGCATCATCGAACCACGGCAACAGCAATCAAAACCATGCACTGGTTAGTCTCCTGCGGGCGGACCTGCTGCGGATGAAGATCGCTGAACTGGATTTACGTCTGCATCATCAGGCTGGAAGTGCCACCATTACCCCTTCCCCAGTCCGTACGGAGGAGGTTCGCTCACTGCATGGCCAGGTCATGCATGAGATCCTGCACTGGGAGCAGCAAATGCGCAGCAAGGACCACGACCTGGACGAGGCTGACTGGCTTCGCACTGCACGAAGAGAAGATGCGAGAATGATGGATGCATCTGCATATGCACAGTATCTTGTTCTGGCGGCTCTTCATGCCGGGGTTTTGTATCTCTATCTTCTCTACGTAAGCCAGCCTTCTGCCCCTGCGTTTCCCCTGGATTAGATAGCTAACAACACGGATTCAGCCTCTACGGTGTATCCGATGGGAGCATTCCGTCTCCCGGATCTTGCACTGCCACCTGAAGTTCCAACACGATCCCTCCCGCCGCGATTGCCCTTCTTCGCTGGCGCCGTCCTCACTCCTGCTGGCCGGGATCTGCACCACGGATCTCATCCATCGCGACTGGGTGTTGGATCGCTTTAGGAGAGGCGAGCGATGGGGCACGTTTATCCAGAAGGCACGGGAGGTTCTGGAAGCTGCTACGGCGAGGGGGTGTGACGATGATGGCGTGGACATTTGTACACTGATGAACCGGCTGCAGGGGCGGTTTTTCATTTGATCTAGGCCTTGGACGTGTGTCATTTATATGGAGAACGTTTTGATTTGCTTCGCATTATCGCGAAAGGGTTACCCCGAGCGCCTGCTTCTAGAAGACTAGATTTCTTCAATTCGACGCGCTCATGTGCTTGCCATTAGAAAGATGGACTCGAACGCAGTAAAGTGCATATTACCCCGCATGGAGGTCAGGGATTGAATAGTCGGCGTGGAAGCAAACATGTGCGTGATAGGAATGGCCAGGATATTCAATGATAGGTGCTGACAGGGGCACGGGGTAAGATAGCAGGTTCCGTCTTTCTTTGTCAAGCAACGCCATCTTCCTCCAGTGAGCCACAAGATAGCCTCCGAGACAAAGTGTATCTTTATGAGACGTAGATACGTCTAAATCAGGGTTGAGCGTATTGCCTACTCCTATGAACCACGGACCCTCTGATAACCATGATAATTCCACAACTAGTTACGCTCCTGCTAGAGATAAGTTGTCACTAACAAAGATAGCACCTACCATCCACGAGGATGCATGACTCCCAAAAAGTACGAGAATATCCCGACAGTGTCACCTGACACGTCATGTCTCTCCCGACACAATCGGCCACCGGCTGAGGTCGACTGCTGCACTCCAACCCTAGTCAAACTCAGCCAGCTAGCCAGGCCCCCCTTTTCTCCTCGTCGTTTCTCCCCACACCACCATCTCCAGTAAGATAAACTCCTCATGCGTGGAAGAAAGCGAGGAGTGTCATAAAAAAGACAGTCTTTTCTCCACTTCTTGCCGTCATTGCGGAACTTGCTGAGCTGTCGATATACTGAGTTAGCCTGTGTGTCAATCTTTTTTCAATTATCGTCGGTCTTGCTGCGAGCCCGTGTCGAAGATAACGTCCTGTTGTTAATGCTAGCTGTAGGCGTTTGTGCCGGGTCCAGTGATTACTTTGCGATATGACAGCCATGGACCGGTTGAACACCTCTCCGACCGGGGAAGAAAAGGGAAGACCCAAGGAGGACCAGTACACTTACGAAGAAGCGGAGAAAGATCCCAATATGCACAAGGGGACCGCTTCCGAGGAGGGTGACACAGATGGGGTGTTTACCTACAGTGCTGAGGAAGAGCGGTGCGTGAAGCGCAAGATCGATCTGATTCTTCTGCCCTTGCTGTGCATGTGCTATGTCTTTTCCGTGCGTCTCCCTTCCCCCTCTTTGCGAGAGGATGTGTGTTTTGTTTCCATCGGTTACTGACCTTTCCTTTCGACCCCGCCAAGTTCCTCGACAAAACCCTCCTCAACTACAGCAGCATCTTCGGCATCAAGAGCGCCCTCCACTTGACGGGCTCCGACTACAGCTGGCTGGGCAGTGCCTTCTACCTGGGGTATATCGTGGGCGCGCTCATGTGGGCCAAGCTGGTGCAGCGGTGGCCGCAGCACGTGGGGAAGTTCATCTCCGGCGCGGTGACCGTGTGGGCGTGCATTACCTTGTTGACGCGTGGGTTTGCCCTTCCTTTTGGGGGCTGTCTGTTTTGGCTGGTGTGGTTTGCTGATGACTTGGTTCTTGGTTGTAGCGCTGTGCTATAACTTCGTTGGCATTCTGGTTGTGCGCTTGTTTCTGGGCTTGGTGGAGAGTATTATCGGCCCCGTGTTTGTGATTGTCACCAGTAAGTGGTGGACGCGGTCGGAGCAGGCGTTTCGCACGGCGTTTTGGTTGGGGGGGACGCCGGTGAGTTGTTTTCTTTTTACGGAGTGCAAAGGAGTGCACAGGGGATGCGTTTGTTGGGAAATTTGCCAGGCTGATATTGTCTTGTCTGATGGGGCCATAGATTGGGAACTTCTGCGGCGGGTTGATATCCTACGGTCTGGGATCGAGTACGTCCAAGCCCTCTGTCTTCATGTGGTCCAGACTGTGGGAAGATGTGACAGACCATAGCTAAAGCAGCGCAGTGCACCCATCCTTCCCGACGTGGAAGCTCTTCTTCGTCTTCTTCGGCGCCCTCGGCCTCGCCTATGCGGTCGTCCTCAGCCTCCTCATGCCCGACACGCAGGCCAACGCGCGCTGGCTCACCCCGAAAGAGAGACGCATCGCCGCCGACCGCGTGCGGGCCAACCACACAGGCAACTCTAATACCAACGAGTGGAAGTGGCCGCAATTCTGGGAGGCGCTGCGCGACCCGCAGACGACCATGTTCTTCGTTACGGCGGTCGGGAATACCATGCCGTCGACGTTCGCGAGTATGGTAGGTGTGCCCTCCGTTCAGTGAAGATTCTGATCAAACGGATCTACTTGCGTCCCTCACAGAAATGGATCCTGATGTGAAATTGGGTGGTCTAGTTCTCCAGCCAAATCGTCTCCGGCTTCGGATTTTCGACCCTCGAAACGACCATCGTCTCTACTTGCCCGGCGGCGGTGATCCAACTGTCTACCTTCCTGGTGTTCTCGTACATCGCCTCTCACCGTCCGAATATCCGGCTCGGGTTGTCGATGCTTGTCTCGGTGCCACCCTTGATCGGGGCGTCGCTGCTGCATGCGCTGCCGTTGGAGAATCGCGCGGGCCGGTTGGCGGGGTATTACCTTACCTATACGTGCGTGCCCTTTGCCCTCTCTTCTGGTGATAATCTTCTGCAGCGAGAAAAACAAGTTTGAGCAGTTCCAAACTAACAAGTCCCGAGGTGGGAAACAAAACAGACATACGATGTCCTTCACACTCAACACCAGTCTCATGGCCTCCAACTACGCGGGGAATACCAAAAAGGCTACAGCAAACGGAGTGATCTTCGCCGGTTGGGCGGCCGGGTTGGTTGCCGGGCCACGTTAGTGCTCCCTTCTACCCCTTGATCTGTTCCACCGGCATTGAATGCCAGGAAGCAGCGTGAGTGACATACTGACTGACTCGCGTGGGTCATAGAATTCTTCCTTGATAGCCAAGCCCCGGTATATGAGCTTGCGTTTCGGATGCTCAGTACGTTCTATCTTCCTTCTCTCTGTTACTGTGTTACCCGGCGAGTCCGGAACACCGCCTGGGAACAATGCTGACAAGAGATAGTGGGCACCTACGCACTAATGATCATCGTCCCATGCTTCCAGCTGGCGTGGTACAACTACGAGAATCGGCGGCGCGAGCAACTTTCGACAGGGCGTCATCATCCTGGACAGGCTGGTGGGGAGGATGAGGATGATGACCGGACGGATTTCGAGCAGTGGGAGACGTTTCGGTATGTTGTGTGACTGTTCGATTGGGATTGGATGTGGAGGTAGTTTCATCCTCTAGCATGAGTTACAGCCTTCATACTGGATCTTCAGAAAAATATCATACTTGAATTTTGTTAGAAGTATAGATGGGACCAGATCCTCCTAGCCCTAATTGCGATCGGCATGAACCTGGGGATTGATGTATATCGGGGACAAAATTCGTCAAATGTACTCTGCTAATCTGTAACACGTCGTCTCTTGGCCATTCATTTCATCATTCGTTTTGTGGTTCTGTGAGCTGTTCTACGTTTACAAATATTATTTGCGGGAGGTACGCATTGTGCAGGCATGCAGTCAGTGTCATGGAAGTATAGGGTGGATCCAGGGACCCTCTGATCTGATACGAACTTATGTCATATTCACATTCCGACATATCTCCCTATAGCTAGTGCAATTGGTGTATGCTAACCCCGTTCATGCGTTCCGCTCCTTCAAAAATGCACACGTTCCACTGTCTCCCGCCGAAGAACCTCAGCATCTTCAGGCAAAAGGAAGCCCGACTTCATTTGACGGGCAATCGCCACCCCCGCCCGCCTGCGATATGCAGCCACCGATCCATACAGCACCCGCAGTTCTTCCTCCGTGAACGGCCATTCTGAGCCTATGAAATTGGTAAACATCAATTAGCAATCAGCTTCATTGAATCCAGGGAACAGAAGTGGTATTTTCTAAGATAAGAGACATTCAACTCACCACAATACCAGTTCGGCCTCCCGCGAGGCGTCGCCGCCACGATCCTCGCCACCGGCACCTCGATGTGCAACGTCCGAACCCCATCCAATGCATTTCCAAAGCGATCGCGCACGATCTCATCTGTCTCACCAACGGTCCGAATCCACACACTATCCGGCGGCGTGAACCCGCCGTCTCCACCCTCAACAATCCACCGCCGCATCGCTTCAAACACAGCATGATACACAAACGAATTCGCAACAGTGCTCCATCTTACCCCCTCTCCCTCGCCTTCTTCCCCAGACTCCTCCACCCCAGGGAGAGATGGCCTCTCCCCCCACCGCACCCGATCCACGGCAGAGAAATACCGCGACTCGCGATGACCCATACCCGCCACCTCATACAGCCTATACCCCTCGCTCTGCGGCCTCCGATGCGCCGTCCTCTTCCAATGCATCTGCCCACTCACCCCACAGGGATACCGCACCGACAAGAACTCCGATTCCCCCAGCAACTCAATTATCTTACCCCCGGACACACAGTCAGGCAAAGGCGTCGTGCCGCCCGACTGACACGGCAAAAACCCATCAAACGGAGCCGTCACCCCATCCGGCAACCTTAAATGTCCGGAGTGCGTGATGAACCGCCGAGTAAGGCCGCCAGTCTGCGAGAGACCGCTGAGCACCACCCACCGCGCCGGTAGGCCGTCCAGCAGGCCCGCGCGGAGGGCGTGCGACGCCGCCGTGAGGATCTCCGGGGACTGGGTCGTGGCGGGCCACCATTTCGCTTTGAAGGCGTCGTAGGCTTGCCAGAGTTGCTCTTTGGAGAGAGGTTCTTCCTCGCTCCCGTCCTCGAGGGGAATGTTGTCCGAGAACTCATCGCAGGTCGGGCCGGGCGTGAAGGCCATGGCTGCGTAGCGCTCGGGATCGACGTTCTTGAGCTTCCCGATCGCGGAGGGGGCTTGCGAGTCGATTTCGAGCCAGGCGTGGTCTATCCCGTTCATTCCCCCGGCAGAGGTTGCGTTAGATGCATTCTCTTCCAAGTCCATTCCATCAATCCGCGTTGCTTTCGCGTGATCAAATAGGAGCATAGGAGGACGACTCACCATTCCGCATAACCCACCGATTCACATGCCGCCAGACACTCGTCCCACCCCACAGGTGCGAGGGCTCGGCGACCACGAACCCCGAGAACCGGGCGGGGTCTGCGGGCCGTCGGAGCAGCAGGCGCGTGCAGTACGAGTGGCCCTGCGCGGCGCCCGAGATCAGGTACTCCTGGCTGATGTAGTCGTATTCCGGGAGGAGGTCGACGTGGTAGGGTTCCAGGAGGACCGTCGGGTGGGCGGGGTCGGTCTCCGGGAGGAAGGTCACGGTTGGTTCGGGAATGGCGAAGAGCTCCGTTGGAGGTTGGGATTCCTCGTCGGTCATCCTGAGCTTCTTTTGATTGCTATTGAAATCTCTTTGGTTTTGGTTATGCTGTCTGTGTGGGGTTGGGTTGTCAGAAGAATGGTGTATGGTTGATGTGGGAATGTGCAGGACCGTACAGAGCGTTGCGCCACTTGCTCGGGGCTTTGGTTTTTGTTTGAGTTCCGATGTCGAAGAAACATAAAGCGATAGAAGGTCTGATTCAATCTCTTATCAAGTGCACTGGGAACCCTGCCTGGCATTCCATATTCTTACTTCTAGCACAAGCATATGCTGTCACTATACCTGGCCACCTTGCCCGACAAGGTCACGCGCCGACCGACATACTCGGTGGAGCGTCACCGGTCGCCCTCGCCCCATGACTCGTAACTTTCTTGGCGATTGGGCACATCTCATCGTAGAACGTGGGAGGATTCCACGCTTTTATTTTTTTTCATGATGAGAGTTTGATCTCCGCTAAGACGAATAGTAAGTAACTATGGCCTGGTTGGTTGTTGCAAGTCACGTGCAGAAGATCAGCCCGGCAGGGCGTCGACGATTCTAATTCACTAGACGTTGTAGATAGCATTGCTGGTCGTCATGTGAACTCTAGATAATAAGCGTAGTGACAGAGGGAGAAATTCTTTCTGCAAACCAAATACACAAAATCTTATGAGGTTTGCTCCTCGATGTGCCTGTCGGCACGTACAAAATATTTTGCCCTGCTCTCTGAGCTCAACATCGCCTCGGTCAATTGAGGGATACCCGATACAATTCTCTCGCCCACCTCTCCCCTTCTGAAATTTACGAGAATTTAACCACGAAAGATTCGTCCGCTTTCAATCCGTCAAGCATACGCGGACTCTCGTTTGGTGATTTCTGAACAAGTCTACCTCGGAATGATCCCCCAAGTTTCCTGTGGAATAGTTGCGCAGCCGTTGGCGGTGAAGACGTCCCGCGCTCATTGTCCTGTATAGGAACCCGAGGTGGGGTGTTAGAAGATGTAATTACTAGGTAAATACAGTAGAGAGGGAATAATCTAAGCAGGGAGGTCAATGTACTGTGCACCCTGCGATTTGTCCTATCTAAGTCTTTCAATCTTCAAGTATACCATTCACTCCAGCAGGTCCCAAGAGAACAGACACCGTACTAGAAATCAAATACACAGTGGGCGATCTCCACCGGATTTTAGAGACCTGGAAAATCGGTTCTAATGATAATCTTCTGGTGATGATTTGGTGAAATTGTACCGAGACATAAAACAATTAAGCTTTGTGACTGGCAGCTTAGTTGGCATTTTTTACAGGATTGAGTAGAGGTATTGTGTATATACGGTAAAGCACGGCTTGGCCCTGCTGATTTGAGGCTCAAACATGCCTGTGTGCAATATACACAGTAGGTTTAAAAAACTCTAGAAGGGTCTGTCCGCGGCTTCTTTTCCATAAGCATCTCTCCATCTCCGAGGCAAAGCGGGGGGGGGGGACTCGGGAAGTGGAGGGTTAACCCCGAAGGGGGAGTTATTCCCGACACCGTGTTGCCCTAATGCTGTTGTTCAAGTGAAGATGTTCAGCTAGCTCTAATTATGCATACACATCAAATACAGAGCTATTATCAAAAGATGATCTCCTGAAGATAACACCGATGGTAGACCACTACAATACATTTTCCCCAAAACTACAGAAAAGTGAAGCTAAGGGGTTAGTAGCCATGTGCGGAACGTAGTCTTCGGCTCGAGCGATGGCACGTAACAATTTAGCCCCGAGGCCAGAGTCCGATAGTGGCATTAGTTGAATTAATATAGACACACGGCACAGAACCCACATTTCCCTCAGCCTCGCAGCCTCTCAGGGGCTACACATATACCCACTGACCACACGCGAGGAAGGGATCGCACTTCATGCAAGGAAAACTATTCCTGTCGGATCGATGTTTCCACCACTGAGGACTGTCAGATCTAGTCCGGGCCAAGACTAGTGTTTGCGACCGTTGGCGACTACTTCGTAACCGTGTGTGTGTGCCCCTTGCGCTGGAAAGAATGCCTTTCCCCCTGTCCTGTGCTGCAGAAACGGAGAGATCATTATAGTGCCACGCTGCTGCTATCTGCCTGAAGGCAAGCTAAGAAGCTACCATGCCTGGTACTGAGATCACATTACCCACCCGACGTCGAACATATACGAGATCAAGAACGGGATGCCGCACCTGTCGGTAAGTGCTCTGCTAGGGACCGCCTTCGATGAACGGGGCCTGATTACCCAGTGCACGGCGGATTCGATGCGACGAGCAACCCGACGCGTGCAAGAATTGCACCTCCACCGGTCGGAAATGCGACTATGATCTCCATCGACTTCCCTGGGGGCGGCAAACCACCCTCCCCGGGGCCATCTCGGTCCAGAGACATGGGTGGATTCTGACGTCGGATGAACAACGCTGCTTTTCGTACTTCCAGCACCGCACCGTGTCCAGTGTAGCGGAGCTGTTCGACTCCCCGCTCTGGGAGAGCCACATTCTGCGACTGAGCTTCACGGAACCGGCCGTCTGCCATGCGGTCAACATGCTGAGTGCGATCCAGCAAGCCGCGGAGACCAATCGAATGCGACTTACTGGGGCACAGTCCGATGACGACCACTTGAAATTCGCGCTGGAGCAGTCGGTGCGGGCATCAGCCTTGTTGCGCCGCCGGCAGGGATCAAACGACCCGCAGCTGATCCACACGGTTCTTATCTGCTGCCTGTTGTTTGTGATCGGAGAGCATATGCGGGGCAACTTCGATATTACCATTGTGCACGCCAAGCACGGGGTACGCATTATGCGAGAAGCACAGTCCCGCGGGCAGAGGATCGATCCTGCGCTTGTCGATTATTTCCATCACCTTGACATGGAATCCGATCTCTATTGCCAAACGGCGCAACAGGGCGATACCAAACGTGAAGAGCCGGACTGGGTGACGAACGATCATCCGATTGTTATCCAAAGCGTGGCCGATGCCCGAGTCGCATTCATGCGGATCAGCAACCAGTCAATCGGCTTTATTGGCCACGCCTGGCAAACGCCGAAAGCCAAGATTCATGCTGAATATGACGCTTTCTGGCTCGCGCGCCAGCGGATTCTCTCACGGTACCAGCAGTTCACTCAGGCCCTCAACTCGTTCTATGAGACCCACGCGCATACGCTGACGGGCAAAGAACACCGCGCTGTGACTTTGCTGCGTCACTTGGAGGTCGTCCAGACTCTCTCGTTGAGACTCACGCTACACGACACCAGTGACGCCAGTGACCAGGCCCGGATTCTCAAGGATTTTACTACCCTGCTGTCGAGCAGTCTCGCTGTTATAGGCGCCATCGCCCGCAGCACGACGACCATTATCATCGAACCGCTGGTCATCGGGGGTCTGCACATCGTGGCGACCCAGTGTCCGGACTTCACGTTGCGGGTTCAGGCCCTGGATGCCATGCGCTCCTGGCCCCACAGTGAGGGGCTGGTCAACTCGGAGGTCTGGGCCGCCCTCGCGACCGAGGCGCTCAGGGCCGACCTTCTACAGCGGATAGCCCAGGACGGAGAGAACCGGACCGGGGTAGCGTATCCGATGGAGACTGATCGGTTTCTGGTCGAGGTCTTGCGATCGAGTCATACTGCGAAGGACTGGGCGCCTGTTCGTGCGAAGGATTTGGATATTGGGGGCCTGGTATCACCGGTGGATTCAGAGTCTCGTGGAGATAGTTCTGGGTGGCGGGTCAACTGGGAAGTAACAAACACAGACAAGGCGTTTCAGGATCTCATGTGAAGCTGTTCATGGTGTGAGACTTGATGCTTCTCGCTGACCTATTCCTACAGACTACAGATGGACATGGTTGTATTAAGAAATGGTCCGTGCATCCGTGTCATAATGACCATGGGCTGGCTGAATGCATACCCAATCTGGGCTACACACTGCTTATTCGTTACATAATTCGAGATAAGGAGGGTCCGAGGCGCTTGAAATTGGGGTTTGTGCCATGCCGTCGCAGCTTTTCACAGCCGTTGTGCATCATATGTCTACAATGACGACAGACCTATGATGACCACAGGAAATGCTGCAGGACGAACGTCTGTGATAGTATACCACCGCAGGCTATACATCCTACATTCCAGAAGCCCGGTGGCCGTACGATTTCGATACTTAACAGCTTTACTGCCCAGCAGACCGCCCCGCCTAGCATAGCCCTAATACACGAGATGAGATACACTAATCTCCCATACAGCGCTCTTCTGTAGTAATGCCGTCTGGCTGAAAGCCACATAATTCTGAGAGGTCTAAGAGTCAATAGAACTTGTAGTGAGATGGTATTCCCTAGGCCGAGTAGCCGACGAAGGTATCGTAGCGCTGAGAGAGGTATGGGTAAAAGGGTGCATGTTCGAAGAGGTGGGTGGATAAAAGGCCCTCAAGAGGAAGGCCCACGTCCGTATATTATCAACGCTCCTTCGAAAGTCCATGTTTTCACGCACTGGCTCTCATTCCTGGTCTCCTGCCTCAATATCCTTATCTATCTTGGCCTTCACCGCTTTCCAGCGTCTACCCCACTTGGTCAATTGAGAAGCAATACACGCGATAATCAAAGAGACGGCCACAGAAACGCCGACTAGATAGGGGTCAGGATTAGCCTTATCCGCGAAAGGGGGACGGTCTGTGCCACAAGCTCACATATGATCGGGAAGATCCATTTCCCTTCATAGCTGACGCTCTCTGACATGAGGAAAGTCAGACACATTCAAAGCAAAGAAGCTCGTCAGAAACGATGCGGGCAGCTGTCGTTAAAGCAAGCTTTAACTCAGTGGTTTGAACTATGCGAATATGGATAAACTCACGAAGGCGGTCGTCACAAGTGTAAACACCATGATAGCAACACCCTGCTTGGCAGTCTCGTCGCTCTGCTTGCGGCTGCTCTTCGCTTGGTTGATGTTCGCTTGCTTCTGCTTGAGATCAAGCAGCATGTCAAGGGACTTCCGGACGGTCTCCGCATCTTTGATCATCTCTTCGATCTCCGCTTTGATCTCAGAAGGGGTTTCGTAGGTGAAGCCTGCCTTGCGTTCATGCTCCTTGCCCCAGAGCCGGTCGCACACCTCTTTTTGATCCTCCGCCAAGCTTTGAAGAATGTTGAGCTCGTTGCTGATATCCTTGATCTCCCGTAGAAGCGTTGTTTCCGCGAGGATGTTATCATACTCCTTCTTGGATGCGGAGATGGTCTCCTTTTCGGGTTTCTTTGTGTTTGGTCTTCGCACGCGCGCTGTCTGGTTTCCGGCATCGGGTCTATCGAGGAATCAATCGTCAGCTCTTGGCATTAAGGTCATTCTTCAGAGGGAGTCTCACCTAGCGCCTGTGGCCCTGGCAGCTTGAGTATTATCTCCTTCGAACAACATATCGCCCGTTCTATCAGTCCCTAAACTGTGTATGTTCTGTTCGCGCAAAGGGCGAAGGCCCACAGCGTCGGCCATGAAAAGCCACAGTGACTTGCAGAATCTTCCAATCTTCACGGCCTTGGTTTCGTCTCGCCCTTCCGACGACTTTTCTCTTTTGAGGTCATCCCCCAGTTGCTCGCAGAATGACTTGTATAGTGCAGCTTCTTTCTCACGCTTGCCTTAGTTGTTAGTAGGTGTCTGTGAAAGCAGGGCAAGAACGAAAAGGCGAGCGACTCACAACATTCTGGATGGATTCTCGGAAGATGGCGAGCGGCGACTTCTTCGGGCTTGGATCTGGGCTGATCTCCGGTACATCGAACATCCCGATCGCCGTGCTGAGGATAATCTCGCGGACTCTTTCTACTGGCCAAGGTGTTCTGTTCTTCTGGCTCTTCAGGTTGGCAAGTACTCGTTGAAAAAAGCCCCTGGTGGCGTCGGTGGTTTCTCTTGTTGTGAAGGTAACAATTGTTTCTGGAAGGATTAACGTTAATACGGCATTGGAAACGAGGTCTTCCAGGGGCATCTTGGAGTCATACTATCGACAAGCGTAAAGAGCCACAGCTGGTTCACGAGGAAGATTGTAGAAGTGTCCTAAGGGGCACTTGAATGTGGCCTGCCGGCCGGTCCTGGTCTGTTCTCCGATCTGGTGAAGCGCCCAACAACTTGATCACTGTCTCTTTGTGTGGTTTCACTGATCGAGGAGTAATAGTACTGGTCGAGGGTCATGTAGGGCTGCTCCTGGTTTGCGGGGTCGTCCTGAGACTGAACGGGTTCCGGAAGCGCTTGCCCGGGATTGTTGCGGTCCGGTTTGCGTGGCCAATCGGACCAACCTAGATATGGCATCTATCACACGTATCAGTTGCCCTCCAAGGTATATCAATGAACTTTTCTACTGACATAGAGCGCAGAATCATGTTGCGTGGGCTTCGCTTCGAGGCTCTGATCGGGAAGACCCTTTGTCACGATCATGAAAGTCAATGTCACTGCGCAAGAATCCGAGTAGTCCGTGAGAAACGGCACTGTTGAACTCACCTGCATCACAACTGGGGCTTCATGTATGTCTTGTGACCGCTAGCATGCATGAGGGCCTGGTTGTTGTCAATGAATGCGGCCAGTGCTCGGTGGTCTTTATTTGTCAAGCCTCTGTCTTTTGACAGACGGACTAGGAGCTCCTGGGTCACATTAGTCAATGCAATCGAGCACGATGAGTAGCGTACCGTCAAGCACCGCAACTAGGCGAGAGATTTGATGTTAGCTTGCGCAACCCAATTGAATTGGTCTTCCTTACATTTGTCACTGGAATATGTACCCATCTTACGTCTAGCTCGCTGGGAGTTCGTCGCGTTATTTTGAATCCGTGTTTCACAGCCATTTTGGTCTCTTTTCGATGACCTGGCTTGGATCTCTCTGGTTTAGGTTCAGCTAAAGGCCCGTTTTCGAGAGCATCTGTGAGTGCGGAGACTTCGCGATACTTGAAGTCATGCATGATGGTTCCAGGCCCCTTTCTGTAGATGATGTCGATCACCGGAGAGCCCTTGATTTGGAAAATGACATGGTCACGATTCTGGCCTTGATCGGAGAGGAAGTCGAGCACCGTACCTCTTGGCGACCGAAGTCTGAGGCCGGGCGGTCGAAGCTCGGGCAATGATGGTCGTCCGCCGGGGGGCTAGTTTGTTGAATGGGGGGAGGATCTGTCAAAAGGTCAAGAATGAGCCGGCCATTCCGGTCATGTTCACCCCAAGACTCGGCTTGCTTCTCGGCATGCTGGATGTCATCTTCGCTGGGATATTCTCCGTTGGAAAGGAGCCACCAGACGACCACGGGCTTCTTGAGTGACACGACTGTTTGAAGCACATTCAACGCCGTCGATCCAGGGAGCAAGTACTCAAAGTAGCGATCCAAGTATCCCTCGTTACCTGGGGCTTTGTACCGGGCTGTCAGCTCCAAGATTCTGTCTTGATTCTCCTCTGCTAGATTGAGAAAATGCTCTCGATTCTTGCCGACACTCGGGTCCAATACCTTCCACAGAAAGCTTTCAATATCTCTATGACTTGATGAACCCCCGCGCGCGGATATAGATATCAAATCCTGATCATCCCCACAGTTATCGAACAAGATCTGGAATATTCTCGATGATGGAATGACAGGCATATCATGGGTTTGCACATCGCAGGTATCCCGTTCGTCATCATCATGCTGACCCGCCCCTGATTTTGCCCCCAACCAGTGTAGCATAGCAGAGCTTGAATAAAGGAAAGATTTTGACTGTTGATTCCCAGAGAAAGCAGATCGGTCACATGATCATTGTCCATTCCTGGGTCGCTGTATTCAGTTCTTAAGATAGTTTCTGTGATGGCAACGTCGGCGCCGAGTGCTGCCACAGTAATCCATGAAATGCCATCTCGATCCAGACGTGGAAGAGATTGTGATCCTGCCAGGTACTTTGCCAAGATAGCCTTCTGTCGATTCAGAACAGCCCAATATATGACTGCCGCCATGTGGCTCGCGATAATCCTGGGATTGTTGTACCTCGCTGAGAACCTCTCTTCTGCTACATCCCCGCGATCGATTGAGGCTGCACTCAAAATAGAGGTCTCATCCTCCTGATGATAATCCATGCATCAGAGGAGGTGAAGTGACACCTCTTTGATCTCTCGGGCATCCGAGAAATATGGTTTGTTCTGTGTCGGGTACTCAGGGAAAAACACAGAACTTTCCAGGATGTCCAAGACAACGGATATAAAGCCCTCACTGGCAGCCAAAGCTAGAGCTGTACCGTATTCTTCAGCTTTTGCAGTTACAAACTTTGTTCGCTTTCTGAGAGCCTCTGGATACGTTAGTTCTTTGATAGATGACTTACTCGCTAGGTTGACGTCCCTATCTAGCCAGTTGAAAATTGCTTTAACAGTCTTTGGACGTCCGTAAGAAGCAGCAAGATGCAGTGCAGTCGTGCCGTCATATGCTGTGGCATACAAATTTGCCCCTCGCTCGAGAAGGATATTCACAATATCAGGGTCACTGCGAAAAGCAGCCCAATGAAGTGCCGTCCAGTCGCAATTATCCTTTTTCCCCAGGAGTGGATAGCATCTACTTTCAGGCAGCATCCGCGTTATTGCCTGATCTCCGTCATGAACAGCCTGATGCAGCATGGGAATTCCATCCACCCTCTTGGCACACGCATCTGCGTTGTGCTCCAGGAAGATTTTCACCAATATGGGGTCTCCTCTGATTACCGCCTCATGGAGTGCTGTCAGTCCAAATTTGTTGCATTGCCCCAGAAGCTCACTTGCCATTATCCGAGCTTGCTTCGGCCATCTCGATCAGCAATCGAACCAAATCAGAGTCTCCGTACATTATCGCAAGGTGCAGAGCACTTTCCTCCCACTGATTTTGCCTCTTGATGAGTTCAACCCCACCTCTTTGGACGAGAAGGTCGAAAGTGCTCATAGAGACATTGGCTTCTGCTGCGAAGTGGAGCACGGTCCGTCTAGAATTCTTGGTTTCTGCGTCGATCTTTGATCCGTGGCGCAAAAGCATGTCCACAATTCTAGCACGATCCAGACCCCCAGCGAGCATCAGGAAGGTGACCCCGGACTCTAGTTGGGCATTGTGGAGGGGAAACCTGTACTTGAATGGCCCTTCAAGATCCAGATCGGTGTGGCCATCCAGTAATCGTTCGACAGCAGCAGCATCGTCGCCCTCTTCGATAATAGCTCTCAGCTGTTCTTTGCAGTCCAGCTCCAATTCACGGTGCCCGCTTTGTATGTCCGAGCCGAAGCTTTGGTGTTCTGTCCAAGTTAGAATTCACATAGGATCTCGGTTGGGAGAACAGTACCTTCGTCCATTTTGAATCTTCTTTCGGGACAGAATCTCGCAGAAACAATATATGTAGCCGTAAGCCAAGATGGGGGTAAATAGAGAAGTGCAACTTTGACAACAAGTGTATGGAGTAATTGGCATGATTATTATGTCGAATTGTTGGGTGGCTAGGATATTAAGTGTTCTCGCAGGCATCCAGACAGCGAATACGTGCTCCGTCAGCCCCCGCGGATACTTGCAGATCCAGATCGCTCATCCCTCCTAAGCCCGTCCACCCCTGTAATATAGAGTACAAATTGGCGAGATGTATCTGCATCCACCGCTTCTCATTTCCGGTCAGATCTCATGCTAATACAAATACTATTCATATCACAAGACGCATCGAGATAAGCCTTGGAGACACGACATGAATTACTTAAACTTGACTAAACATCTCGGTCTGTATTCTGTACATTTGGTCGATAGTGACAGTATTGAACAAGACATGAGGAAAGCCCCAACAGTCCCTATACAAACGAAATGAACACAAATTACGGTTGATTTGTTTGTTCTCACCTAGCTCATTCAATAAGAATATACATCAAGAAAGGTGGTATTCTACGTGGCCAAGGTGGCTATCCGAGACATGGCGGCAGAAGACGGACAGAGGTCCAATGACTACCAAGTGCAACCCTCGAGAGCCACGTCAGCATCAAATTTGCATCCCGAAGAGAGGCGGGGTAGTTTGGTCCCGGTGAAGTGAAGATTCGTTGCTTGGAATGTGTTGAGAGTTGAGTAGGTCGCTTCCTATGCATGAGGCCGACCATTATTGCAGAGAAACCAGGATGAGCGGCAATGGTGATTCCTGTTCCTCATCGCTCTTATCCTTTCAGACTCAGTCTGTAAGTGGTTGCCAGACAGGACCTCTCTCATCAAAGTCATTTACCAGGGTACGCTAAGCGTAGAGTTGGGCAAGGCATGAAAGCTACCGCTAACCCTAAGGTTAGGCAATAATTTGGTCCGGAGTCGATGAATCGTCTTTCGGGTCTGCGGTAACGCGCCCCTTCAGGTGTGTATGAAACATGTGCATGGTATTGACCTTTGCAGGCAAGGAGGAATGACGGGTAATATGGTCGCTGAAGCAACACTTCCTTTGTATCCGATCGTGTGTCCGCGGTGCCGCAATCACTAGGTGCGCAAGCCACACCGCTGCGAATGATCAAATCAGTAATTTAGCTAATCCAACTCGCGGATTGAGATGTCTATGCCAAATATCATCATGTATTCCGTGTCGCCACCTAAAATATGACTGGATATCTACAAGTCTCGCCAGTATTGTCCCTACTATATCTATACGCACTGCAATGTGAAGATCAAAAGAGTCTCCTGGACAATCGTGCTAATTCTCTTTAATTGGTTCTTTCTCACTGTGATTCATACGACCTTTCTTGTCTTTGCAACACCAGGGCCTGGGTTCATGCGAGGACAGGATTCCCAAATTTCTCCTACAGTGCTTCTTGATTCCCGGCTTTCGACTAAGATCCTGTATCTTGTAACCAAACACGCTGTACCCGCTCGGAGTCTCTGGCATGGCATGACATATAACTCTCCCTAAAATCAAATTGTATCAGGCAACCGGTGATCTCAGCTTATTTACGAGGAGGACAGATACATTGTATTTCCGTGAAGATGATGCTTCTGCATTCATGATCTAAAACAAAGAGAAGAATAGAAGCATCCATTTCAACAGCCTAACTACTATATCTATCCAGGTGAATGATATTTCCCTAGAACTTCTTGGTCAAACTTCGTAAATACATAGTAGCTTTCACTCTGTCTCAGGTTATAAGATAAGAGTCCTTGGCAGAACCGCTCCACCTCCACATCATCGATTCACCAATGAACCCAACGAGTAAGTTATGAATTTTTAACTTGATTCCCGCCGCCAGGGCAGCCGGAAGTAGTCTGCAACAGCGTCAGTTCTGTTCTCAGGTCGCACGGTCACCGAGAATCAGACCCGGGCAAGGATGAATGGGGCCCCAGCAATAAACCGCTCTTGTGGCAGGAAAATAACTTACTGCTTGCGGGCTCGCTCGGGTGAGCGTCCAGCCCGCGGATCCATTTGCCTAGCGGAACTTGCGCGTGGTCGGCCTCGAAGGCGACAGCCCTTAAAGAGTTTGTCGGCGGTACTCGCGGTTTCAACGTGCGTCGCGTAGGAAATGTCACACCACTGATCGCGCTCAGAGGATCGCTCAAGTGGATTTTATAGCCATGGAACAATAGGTCATCCATACACAGGTACCGAAGCGAGGGCATATCGTCGTGAAGACTCGCCCAGACTGCCCGCCACCGGCGCGCGATCTCTGCCCTGCAATCAAGGATCCACTGCTGCTTCTCGGCAGAGTGAGGCTCAGCATTCAAGGTAGAGAGCCGGCTGATGGCTTCGACTAAATTTACAGAAGATAATGTAAGCCGCTGCAAGGTAGTGGCAGCGGGACGGAGGAACGCTTGCAGGTCACTGTGGGTAGTATCGACGCTGTGCAAGTCCAGATTCCGAAGCTGTGTGAAGTGCACGCGCGGTGCGAGCTGGGAGAATATCTGACTCGATAGGCGCTTGTCCTGCTCGTAGCAGAACGACAAGTCGAGGGTTCGCAAGCTGGGTGCGGCGGCCACCACCATTTCTAGTGTACCCCGCAGACAATCCTCTTCACAATAGTCCGTGGGCGCTTGGTCCGTGCCACAAAAGCAAAGATGGAGGGTCTCCAGATTCTGTAAAAGAGGCAAAAATCGCTTGTACTCTGGTGTCATCGTCAAGGTTGTCAGATCCTGTGCCGCCACGCCGCAGTGGCGACGATCGCACGTCTTCAGTCTCCGGAGCTCTCGCTGTGCGGTAACAATAGCGTTTACCACGGTGGAGAAAACACTTGCATTTTTATCTCCCATTTTTGTCTTCTCGTGCCAAAGGTACACAGAGGGAGCTATTATACCGTGGCAGGGGATCTGACGCCGAAGCTGGCGTACCCCTAAGCAAGGAAAATCCGCCGGCTGGGCCGCATCGAGTAAGACCCACGTGGGACAGGATCGCAGCCCGATACCGTCCAGATTCTTGAAGCAGGCGAGTGACCGACGAAGGACACTCCCAAAGGTCCTCGTGCTCAATACGTGACAATGATCCGCGACAATTGCCTGGTAGACGGTGAAACGGTTAAAGCGCTCAGCACCGGCCCTCGATCCCCTCGCGTATAGACTCAATGGGAAAGAATGGTCCCGTAGTGGGGGAGGTGTGTTGCCCACTGGTAAGTATTTTTTCTCAAGCGAACCCTCAAAGAGGGTCGGGACGATCCAGAGATCCTTTACTCGTGTTCGAATGTTCTCGTCAGCAGCAATTGCTGCTAGGCGGCTCAGCCCTTCACTTGTAATCAATACACAAATGGTCTGGAAGTTGAAGTTCACGAAGGCCTCCGACGAGCGGAGGTAGAATGTCCGGCAGGTAAGCCGAAGGGCGCACCAGTCGGCTAATTTTAGGTATCCACAGATTTCGGTGACAAGCTCCGAAGGAAGGACGATGAAGGACATGTTAATGGTCAGGGAGGCAGTAGTAACACCTCTGAGGGTGGATGGCAAACATGTCAGATTTATGAGAGTTTCTTAGTGTCAGCATGGCTAAGTTACTAACTACTTATTAGTAGCTAGTATAGAGACCGGCGATGGCCGAAGAGACAACCGGTGGAGCCGCTCCTCACTAGTCAGTAGTCCACTAGATTCCCGACCCTGGATGACGCGTCACCGTAGTCTTCCTTGGATTATGGCGTCGCAAGAGCTTGGTCACCTCAATCTCTAATGTTCCAGGGTCTTCATGAACGAACCCCTTAACTGAAACAACATAATCAAAAGGAAGTCCTGGCAAAAGACCATTTCCAGGATAATCGCGAGAGGAGCCGGGCTCGACTCACTCTTCTCCTTTGATTTGATCTCATAGAAAAATCATCTTTGGCATTGTATATACCCTGCGATGTGTCTACGTCTCAGATAGGACAAACGCCTCCACAGCAGCAAAGAATGACATGACTCATGAATATGAGTCGAGGTCAAGCTTCAGATCGTGAAACATGACTGTGGTTAAGTTTCCGGGCAGCGCTTGGTCGGGCTGTGATGACTAACTGGTAAGCACTAACTGTGCCAGCCAATCCGTTTAAGCTATTCTAGTTTGCTGGTTGTGTCAAAGCTCGGTTATTCATGCGAGACAACCACTGAGTCAGTTGGAGTATGAACGAGGTATCCCATCCGTAGACGATCTACTGTTCTTGTCGTGTCTTAAGCGTCATGCCCACTCAAATTCATTGGAAATTGTCCGCTAGGCACTTTATACGTTTGATATCAGATTGTCGTGACTTGACTACACAATCTAAGCATTCTTAACTGCTAACTCCCAATCGTAGTAAATTGCTGCGCCTCACGCAGGGTCACGTGGTCCGGCTCTAGCAAAACAAGATGGATCACCTGAGAGCGGGGTAGGCTGAGACCTGACGGTGGGCGAGGCCAAAACCTGTAAGCCTAAACCCAACTCATCTCTTATCAGTATTTGTACAAGCCTCAAATAGCAATGATGACAAACACAACGTACCAGACTGGTAAGAATGATGGAACCTTTGTGGGAGTGAATAGCGGTACCATCACGATTTGTAAGTGGAATAATCAGCCTTAACTCATACGATGGTAGCTGACCTGGAAACAGCCTCAGGGCAACCGGTCTCATTCGATCAAGGCTTGTTGCGTGATCTGCGAAGAGCACTTTTTGTCACGGATCCCGAAGAAGATAGAGCTGCGCTCAAACTAAGGAAAGGTGATCGGGCACAGGGCACCTGCGATTGGATGCTAGAAACGGATGAAATTCGGGAATGGTTAGATGAAGAAAATGACGGAGGATCCAATATCATGTGGCTGTATGGGAATCCCGGGACGGGAAAATCCACAATGGCCATCACACTTACCGATGAAATTGCGAAGCAAGAGCCGTTTCTTGACGGTAGTAAAACGCTGACATATTTCTTCTGTGACTCCGCCGATGAGAGGCGAAGAACGGTGACTGCACTCTTACGGGGACTGCTCTACCAGTTTCAAAGACAGCACTCGCACTTTCTCAACCACTTCCAAGACAGGTTTTTGGAGCGTGGAAAAGATTTGTTTGATTCCTTTGAGGCGTTGTGGTCCATTTTCATACGCATAATCAATGACGAATCGATTGGCCACAAATACTGCGTCATTGACGCTTTGGATGAATGTGAGAACAGTTCGCAACTTCTTACGCAGCTTGACCAATACTACCGCAACCTTCCGAAGCAACACGAGAACAGACTACATATACTCATTACCAGTCGACCATATCCTGAAATCTGTGAATATCTTCAATCTTTCCGACACAAGGATCTCGGGCAATATCATCAGAGGAAGCAAGACATCAAACAAATGATCACCGAGAAAGTGCAGGATCTGAAGCGGAGAAAGAACTACACCGCACGCATTGAGCGAGAAGTCACCCAAATTCTCCTTGACAAGGCAGAAGGGACGTTTCTGTGGATTGGAATCGCCTGCCAAGAACTGTCAAGTGTCCGCGTGAGAGACGCGGTCCAGACCCTCCAAAGACTACCTCGGGGGCTTGATTCTCTATATCGGGAACTACTTGATAATGCTATTCAGCAGGGAGAGATCGAGAAGACAAAGATTATTGAGATTCTTCAATTTGTTGCTGTAGCTAAAATTACAATGACCGTATCCCAGTTGTCACGAGCGTGTCGGTCTTACGAGGACGACGACGACGAAGAAAGAATCGCCTTCTTTAAAGACGACATCCGGATGTGTCGATTAATGGTAATCATTGAAGGCAATTTTGTCCGGCTATTACACAAGTCGGTCGAGGACTTTCTACTTGGAGTGGACAATGATGACGTTACACAACGCCTCAAGGCTCATGCAGCTCTTTCTTATCGCTGCATCAGCTACATAGTCAATTGGGATTTGAACAATCGATCCACTGACCAAGATTTCCTTCAGTACTCTACTCATTTTTGGACAACACATGCCCATCTAGCCAAGAAAGAATTCTCTATCCTGGAACAACACAGAGCTTTCTACGACTTTGCAGCGAGCCATTGGATTAAGTGGTGGAGCATCTTCACAGAAGGTACCTCGACAATATGTACTTCCAGCTTCACTCTCTTTCATGCTGCGGCGAATTGGGATATTGAGGCCCTGGCCGAGCTTGGACTGGAAATGCTTGTCGACAACAAAATGGGGCCTCGTTCAGTCAAGTATGATGATCGCGAATTTAAGTACTTGTCGCATAAGGGCACGCCTTTGAGGATCGCAGCGTCGCAAGGACATACTAACATCATCCAAATGCTGTTGAACAGCGCTGATATGACGCTGGAGATAAATGCTGAAATTATACACGCAGCAACAAAGAATACTACCCGCGGATCTGAGATCCTACAGCTTTTCCTAGACTTCACAAAAGGCAATCTTCTAATGACGGAAAGCATTTTGGAACTTGCAGCACGAAATACAGGATGTGGATTCGAGATTCTCCAGATCATTTTCAGTCATTACGGAGACAGCATCCGCCCTCAAATATCGGAAAATGTAATGAAGCACGCTATGGCGAATCAGGAAAATGGGAGCAAGCTGGTGGGCTTGATTGCAGGGAGATTTCCCGGCATAATGAACACCTTGGCAACCCATGAAGCCTTCAAGTTCGCAATTTCGAACGATCGAGACAACATCAAGCTCGTTGACTTATTATTTACTCATGCAAGTGAGGTAATCATATCGGAGCAGATTGTCGAGACTGCGATACCCAGTAGAAAGAACACCAGGGAAATAACGCTTCAGCTTTTTTCGCGTGCAGACCGAGCCAGTGTTTTGACAGAGAGAATTATATTGAATGCTGCATCCCACAGCACCCAGCTATGCCAGGATCTAATCAGGATGACTCTAGAAACCGCCGCACAGTCTCGGTTCTCAGCAGGATTAAAGCATCTCATTGTTAGTTGGTGCGACGTGACATCGATGAACCTCTTTCTGCATGTGATGGACAGTCAAAGTTTCATCAATCAGAACATGATAGCTGGAGTAAAGGATGAAGATGCCAGGGAGATTCTGAGAACCCGAATGAAACTTCAATGCCTTCCAACCGCAGCGAGCACTCCGACAGCCGAAAGTCACATTGATTCGCACTCACACCGCCTTTCTATCAGGCAGATCAACGTTATAGAAGATCATACTGATGAGGTATGGACGTCTGCGTTCTCGCCCAATGGAGACAGACTTGCCTCCGGTGGTAGGGACAACATAATCCGAGTGTATGACTGCATGAAATTTGTGTCCGTAGCTCAATTAATAGGTCATAAAGAACCTGTTACATGTCTAGCATGGAGTCCCAAAGGTGCAGAATTGATCAGTGGTTCCTTCAACGGAAGCATTCGAATATGGAATGCAGAGGTGAGACACAATCTGCCCTGATTTACTCTGAATTCTGCTCATTTTGTTCTTTAGACATATGCGTGTCTAATCGTGTTGAACAATCACAAGTCAATAATCTCAGCGATCTCGTGGGTACCTGACGGTCAAACCTTCATTAGCTCGTCATATAGTGAGTGTTTTTGCCATTGGACTAAGGCTGGAGAACTTCTGCACACTGTGAAGACAAGATTTAGTGCCAGATATGCATGCATCGCGCCAGATGGCACTCAGTTGATAATGGCTTCTTCGCACCATCAGCTTGAGTTCTACTGCCTGAAGACCTACTCACGCATTATTTCGCATCCCTTGGAGGCAAATGCATCTTCCATTGCCGTTGAGCATGATACAGGTCTGGCCCTTTTGGACTTGGGGTCTGGTGAAATGCAAGTCATCGACCTCAGCAACGGAGTCATTGCTCAACGGTATCAGTGTGCTCGATCGAAGGGTATATTTCTAACCAGAGGCACCTTCTTCGCCCCTCATAATTCCCTCATCCTTGGATGCCGTGAAAACAGCAAAATCTGTGTTTGGGACCGACATACTGGGTTGCTTGTGGATGTACTAGATCATCACAAGCATGGCTGTGTGAACTCCGTCTCAGTGAATCCGGCCAACCCAAATATGTTCATATCTACTGGTGATGATCATACGGTGAGAGTGTGGGAGATGGGACCAAGAGCCATATAATCTATCATAACATGCTTCTTTTGTCACTCCATTGCAAGCTCCAGCCCATTGAGGCCTCAGGCAACGAAGGGTATCCAATACAAACTCACACTTGCCCTCTGTTTCTGTTTTTAACTATTCTTTACTCTCTCCTGGTATTCTGCCGCTGCGGTATATGCCCCAATGATTCGATTATCGCCGAAGCCCCATACCATAGGCTGGGACCGACGACTGATCTCAAGCCTAGCACCATAAATCGTATGAAAAAGGGCAAAAAACCCACCGCCTATCCTTATCTAATGTACACTTCTACTTAGTCTCTGGTTCTGTTTTTTGTTTTTTTTTCTTATTGTCTTATTCTGCCGCTGTAATATCTGCCGCAGCAATTCTACTGTTGCTGAAGCTCTATACTGTAAGCAGGGCCCGGCGATTCACCACAAGCCCAAGAACTACAGATCGCATGGGGAGTCCAAAGGGCCCCGCCTCCTTCACTAGCAGGCCGCATCAGGGGAGTGGAAGAGACACCAAAAGACAAGGGGGGGGGGAGGGGGGCGCGCAACTCTAAAGACCCCGCGATTCCCCCTTTCCATGCGCAATATCTTACAGTTTCAATCAATTGGGTACATTTGTGGCCATGACGCGAACGAACGACCAGTTGAGCTTGTGGCCATGACGCGAGCGAATGAGCAGTTGAGCAAGCGAGTCGCCAATCTCTTGATATACCAACGCCGCGTTTAAATTTTCCAGACTGCGTTGAAAGCAAGTGCATAGCTTCACCAAAGCTGCCTATATTTAAAGACGATTGGATAGAACATGAAGTTTTATCGAAGAATGTTAACCAAGGTTTCTGTTAAGAATTTGATTGTCCTGCTTGAATATAGGATCTCGATTCTTAGCCCGTTACTCAATTCTACATAGTAAAAGTTTATGCCGACATTTAAACTATGTGGTAGAGGAATGGATGGTGATCTTTTATTTTAACAATCATCGCCCGTGGTATTGCGAGACCTCCCGCCACAGCGCCCTGACCGGCACCAAGAACGCGTCGTCGGACCAGATAAATTGTCGCATACGCTCGTGCAATCTCGGCCACGAGAAGTGAGGGTAATGGAAGGCGAGCATGCCCATATACTCAAAGCGGGTTGAACCGACCGGTGCGAATGCGCCGCCGATATACAGCAGCCAAACGAGCAGATCGGCATTGGGATCGTCGTTCCATACGGCCGCATCGATGTCGTCACGCAGCCCCCGCAGGCTCACGAGGAGTTCCTTGGAGATGTGGGACTACTCGCAACAATGATGTTGGTTCAACGAGTTCGGACTTTATATTCAGCAAGAGTACGTACCGGAAGCACCAATTCACACCAAATCTTACAGCACAGCGTCATAGAGCACAGGTACGCGGCTAGACGACAGCACTCCTGCAGTTGATTCAAACCCGACAGGGCCTTGAGTCGGGACTGGATGGACGCAACGTGATTGTTGATATGAAGCATGCCCATTGCGTCGATGTGCGACGATCGCGGAATATTCCGGATGCATTGCAGGGCATGGAGGTCTTCGAGGACTGTGCTGAACTCTTGACCAAAGATGTGCGATCGGGATTGCAACCCTGGTGGAAGACGGTAGAAATTCGGCACGAAGGTGTCCCGGGTCCAGAGGAGGGGGGCGAAAGTGGTGTGGTTGACTATGCGTGTGGACCCTACCATGAGGGATGAGTTGAGATCTTGCCTGCGCGATTATATCAGTACATCATATCAATTGGTGAGTATGATTTATAGGAGCAGCATGTTCGATACGACTCACTCACCAGAATATGGCTCGCTGGATCCCCGGAGTCAGATGGATGCTCTTTCTTCGGCAGATCTTCAGAAGTTGCTGCACTGCGCCCATGTGAAGTTCAACCTGGGCTTTAAGGCCAAGGCGCGCCTGTTCGGGAGTCGGTGTTATCAGCAAACAAAATGCTGGATGAGGTACTCAGATGTATCATTTCACAAAACTTACGCCTACACCCGCGATCAGCAATATAGCGCCGATAACCGCCTCCGAAGCAGCGTCATGTTCCGAGTCCATCCGCTCGCGGATATATGTGATCGCCTGACCCTGGTACCGCAGACACTCCTGATCCAGGCTTCCGCCAGTGACGGCAAATGCGAGAGTAAGCATCACGGCATTGATTAGAGCGGGGTCATGGAAGCCAGTTCGAAATACCGATCGGAAGCTCTGGAAGGCCAGTTCCTCGGCCACGCTGAAGACCGGCTCGGGGGCTTGCCTTGCCCTGTCTGGGACACCAGACAGTCAGTGAGACATGAAGAAAGAAAAAGTGATGGGGGTGGAATCACTTACAATCACCAAGCAACACGTGCAGCCTGGAGGAGTCCACGGCAAGGGTCTGGAACGGATCCAGAGCATCTGAGAGGAGAGAGAAAATCGGAGCTGGTGGACTGTCTCGAGTCATGATCCATGCCTTGGCTGTCTCAACGGGATCATTATAATCAGGATTGAGATTTGGGTCCTCAAAGGTTGTTAAGATGAAATTGGTCCTAGACCGTTGCTGGTCTTTCCGCTTCCTTTCCAGCGCTTTCTTGAGCGCGTGAGAGCGCGCCCGGCGCCGCGTCGCCTTATCCTTTACGGGCTCATTGACCTGTATCGCGATGAACTGGAATTCTCCGGCCATATTTGTTTGATCCAGCAACCAGTATGGTACAGGTTATGGACGTGCTTCTCATGAATTGCACAGAATGGTATGCAAGTGTTTCGTCCAACCTTCAGCAGCCTTGCTTAGAAATCAGAAGGTCGGAAACATACTATGCCTAATTAGGACATATCTCATTTCCCTTTCGGGAACAATCTTTTTGGCCCAAACCCGATCCTTGACCACTGCGAGATATTCTCAACTCCGACATCTCGGAGTGATATATCATCATCCCGAGGTAGGAAAAAACTGACTACTCTATTGGGGCTTATATATTTGTAAGCTACGATGGCGATTGTTCTCACAAGCTGCGAAGGCAGGAAGGGGCAAAATATATAAACCTGCCGGGATCGCGAACCCAATGGGCGATCAGATGAAAAGCACAGAAGTCCGTTTATTTTACATTCTTCATATTCAATCAAATTCAATAATCCACCACAATGACGGAATCACGCCTCTTCAAGCCTCTCCAGATCGGCGCCATCCAAGTCCAGCACCGTATCGGAATGGCCCCCTTAACACGCCGCCGCGCCACTCCAGACCGCATCCCCACGCCCCTCATGAAAGAATACTACACCCAACGCGCCTCTGAGCCTGGCACCCTCATCATCACGGAAGGGACCCTGGTCTCCGCCACCGCATGCGGCGGCTTCTCCAACGCCCCCGGAATCTGGCGAGCAGACCAGATCGCCGCATGGAAGGAGATTACCGACGCGGTACACGCGCGGGGCAGTTTCATCTACGTGCAGCTCTTCGGGATGGGTCGGGCGGCGGACTCGGAATTGGCGGCGAGCGAAGGGATTGATATCGTGGCGCCCAGCGCGATCCCGATCCCGGCGGACGAGAACCCCGCCGCGCCGACGCCGCGGGCCATGACCCGGGCTGAGATCCGGCAGACGGTTGTCGACTTCGCGGCAGCGGCGCGGAACGCCCGTGCGGCCGGGTTCGATGGAGTCGAGGTCCACGGCGCCAATGGATACCTTTTGGACCAGTTCCTGCAGGACACGAGCAACCAGCGCGACGACGAGTATGGGGGCAGCGTGGAGAATCGGTCCCGATTGCTGTATGAGGTGCTGCAGGCGACTGTGGAGGCGATCGGCGCGGACCGCGTGGGACTCCGGTTGAGTCCCTGGTCCCGGTTCCAGGGCATGTGCATGGCTGATCCGATCCCTCAGTTTGCGGACATTATTGACCGGGCTGGTGGGTTGAGGCTTGCCTATCTTTCTCTCGTTGAGACGCGGATATACGGCGCGTGGGTCTATGACGGCAGCGTGGATGAGAGCCACGAGACGTTGGACTTTGCGATCGATCGCTGGGATGGGCCGATTCTGGTAGCTGGGGGTTATGGACTAGACAAGGCGCAGAAGTTGGTCGATGAACAATATCCAAGCAAGGATATCGTGGTGCTATTCGGACGGCATTTTATCTCGAATCCGGATCTGGTGTATCGGCTTAAGAAAGGGGTCGAGTTGTCCAAGTACCAGCGTGAGACGTTTTATCAGGTTAGCTCGGCGTTGGGATATGTGGATTATCCATTCAGCAGAGAGTACTCGGCGACTGTAGGTGCCTAAGGGCCTAGATCAAATTGAGAAGCATCTTGTATCCTAGTTGTGTTCTGCTGAATAAGACTGCGTTGATTTGACAAAACGGTTGCGACCATCACAAATAACTGCTGTAGTCTCGGTCTTGGTATGAACCAAGGACAAGCACCAAATGCTTGAGACCTAGTGACGACAGAACAAGATGCATACAGAACAGAAGAGGTTCGCCGGTGGTCAGCCACCAATCTACTAGTCTCTCCCCGTGTGGCTTTTCTGCAGTCCGTAGTCGGGTGGATGCCTATACCAGTTGGCGACCGCGCCTCCCTCTTTGGCGTACTATCAACGGGGTATTGCCTGGCGGAAGCAGGATTAGGATCCAAGGTAGTAAAAATTAGTATAAGCAGGGTAGAAAGAGATTATAAGGATGTCCAACCCCTTCAATCCTGATATTGGTGACATTTGACAGAGAGGCGGGTATGTATCTTAATGTTTGTATAGTAAAAAGACTTCAAAGAGATAAGAACGTCATGAGAGTAGTGTAAAATGTGACATTAGAGGTTAAAGGGTCGCAGAAATTGGGGTATTTCTAACCTTCTCCCACTAATGCAGCCCCCTCCGAGCTGGCTCATAACTGATCTGCCCTACCTACCTACTACCTGCCTGTTCATGCCGCGGGCGATAGTAGAGAGAGCTGAAAACAAAAAAAAGAATCTGACAGCTGATCAAATTAATATTACACAACTATTTGGTGCTATTAAAAAAGAATATAAGTACAAAAAAATAGAAGAATTTCTATCTAAAAAGCAGGTAATCGGTAATATAAATCATTTCAAATCAATCGATAAGATGGTTAGAGTTGTTAGAATGGATAAAATAGTTCTATTCGGTTTTAATATTATTCTTTAGCTTAAACTTGATTATTTTTACATGAAAACTTTTTTTTTTCTAAAAAAAAATGCAATGCTATTATAATAATAAACTAGAAATTATTATCAGCAGTATTTATACCACACGGATGGCAATGGCTATGTTAAAAAGGTGACCGTCTGCGCAAGCTAGAGGGATGTTTGAAAGCGCTGGAAGACACTCATTAAAAAGGTCAAAGCTCTTGCTCGCCAGCAGATGGAAAAGCCCTCCAAAGAAGACAATGTATTGAACAATCAAGTTAAACTTTGATTTAAGAAAGAAGTATCAGAGGCGTCATGCGCTATCAGAAAGTAAAGTATTTTCACTGTTTTTAGCACCTTTGAACATAAATTTAGATTCAGGAGACCATGCCCTTTTGTGATTAACACGCTACCCCAGATTCCCGATTGTGGAAGGCTTCCTGAGACCAAAATTTCTCATATTAGTATCGCTCCATAATGAGCTGCGTCTTTAGCGAGTCGCAGGCTAGAAACCAATTTCTCCCCGGCTGAGACAAAAAAGTGATTAAGTTGCCCCTCTCAAGTGAGGCTCTCGCGCGGTCCTTTGTCTTGAAAGACGCTTCGACAATGTGCTCAGTTTCTGTGCCCTCAGAGTTGAGGAGAGGCCAGACCTCAAGATATAGCTTCAATCCATTCCACTTGCCAGTAAAGCGCTTCGCAAAGACAGGGCCAAAGATTCGTGATAAATGTAACGCGCTGGTGCCCCACCCTGTGTAATTCCAGTTGTCGAACTTCTCTGGTGCTCTATCGGTCATAATCTGACGCGATTCAGTCGTGTCTGGCAAACCAATACCATCATTCCCAGAATCATCCACGTCGACCTGGTGACTGATGGAAAGTGTCTGCGTTTGATAGCCCCATTCAACCTGCGCCTCGAATTCCGTGTCACCAGCGCGGAAACCATCCTGATTAGCTATACTGAGGACAGCGTCGATGTCACCGTCCGCGATGGCATAGCGCCTCTTAAATGTAAGCTCAAGGTTGTTCTTGTTCTCCATCTTGCGAATACGGGGGCTCCAGCCGGAGGTGTAGATCTCCTTGCAATTCTTATCAAGGAATTGGACATTAAGTGCAGTGATTGTCGAAACATCAAAGGCCGTTTTGACATCTTCTGCTGGTTCTTGATTGAAGCCCAAAACCTTGCCTGGGTCAAGCCGGAGTCTAACCTCGTAGTCGGGTACCATATTCATCGCGATGATCTCTCGGGAAAAGATGTGGCAAAATAGCTAGCGCGAAAAACGAGGTATGGAGTACGTGTGGATATGGGCAAAGCTAGGTAGAGGAAGACAAGTTGTCACAATAATAATCGTTGGTGATGAGACCGCCAGAACCACTTTCCCCAAATATAGTAAGGGGCGAGTGTCGGTCAATCCTATCCGAAATCTTCGATAATCAGGGCATCGCATGTCTTATATCACGCAAAAAGGTTTCAACTATAGACTGAAAACAGACCTGATCTAAGATAACCACCTCTAGCTGCGCAGATTTTCCGAACCGCTTTTTTCAGTGTCCACGGTGCAATAAAAGTTTAAGCTAGTTTAGGTTTGAAAGCGATCTAGGCCCATCCAGACCACTCTATTGGAAGGCCGAGAACTCTAAATACCATATCTGCATTCGACTACCAGTGCTGGTAGCTATGGCCCATCTTCAACAAAGAAGAAGATTACGAAATATAGATTATTGTTCTTCTCAGACCTATCTGGTCGTATTTTGGAACATGAGGAGCCTGACATAATTAAACACGCATCAATAGCATGCCTTATATCCAAAATCGTGGCTGACAAATCTACCGGTGCATAAGGATGCGCTCGCTCTGAGTTTTACTATCTGTCTGAGCAAATGGCTTTCTTTGTGAGAATGAATCCCACGGTAGGCATCCCTATACTTCTATATTAATTGATTCGACAACGACCCAACCGGTCTCTTCTAGAGTTTAGATAGCCTAGAACTGTCTCCCTGGGTATGTGTGTTTTTAAACAATTAGCCAATCCATAATTGAATTATACATACTACTAGTGCAACTCGTACAGTTACGAGTGCACGCAAACGGAAGTATATAGCCACAGATTATATTATACGAGAAGTAAAAGCTTCAAAGTTTCTTGCTAATACAATATCTTATTATGCAAATCATCAGATCTTCTTGGTAGCACTTACGAGGAGATCTGGAATAGAGTCTAGAACAGGTCAAAAAGGTGCCTGTGATCTTGAAGAGTATGATATTTACGTCACTTATCTATCATCTGATTATGCATGCGGAAGAAAGAGAGGTAACTAGCTGATTTACCTTAGAAGGTGGAATTCTGCAACCTTCTTCTAAAAACCAGCACTTAGTATCTACATGTGAAGTACTAGCATTTGGAAACCATTTCTCTTACACAAGAGAGTACTAGCCACTACTCCTTCTGATTGCTAAAAGTCAATATGGGTTTCGCAGATCATATACAGTCTATCCCTGATAGCTATATTGTGGTCTTGAAGCCTGAGATCAACGACCAAGCTATTACATCTCACATTGACTCGATTAAGTCCCAGACTGGCCAGGGCTCTGCGGCAACATTGCAGAAGCCGCTAGACATTGAGAAATTCTCTTTTCATACCTCAGGGGGTGCACACACCACTGCACTAGAACAGACTCCATCTACCTTAAAAGGGTATATGGGAACTTTCTCCCCTGACGTTTTACAGATGATCGGAAAATCAGCTGAGGTGATTTGGAAGCCCTTTACCCACCCTATACTTTTATTCCGTTTCTCCAGAATCTTTTTACATCTATACTATTTACTAAAGCTTTGATAGGTGGACTATATTGAATCAAACCAATACTTTCATATTCAAGATACTGTCGAGCAACCTAATCCCCCTTCATGGGGTTTATCTCGGATCTCACACCGCGGTCCGCATAATTCTGGGAATAACAAGTACACTTATGACAAGAATGAATCTGGGCAAGGCGTAACTGCCTATGTTGTTGATACTGGTATTAAGATCAATCACAACGTAAGAGTTGCCTTACATCGTAAGGCTCAGTTCTAACCTTTTGTATAGGACTTTAACACCAATGGCAGATCTCGTGCTGAATGGGGAATAACAATCCCTAGTGGCGCTAGTGATACTGACAATCAAGGACATGGCACGCATGTTGCGGGCACTATAGCCGGTACTAAATATGGTGTTGCAAAAGAAGCCACGGTTGTTGCTGTTAAAGTCTTCCCGGACGACTCGGGAACTACAGATACTTCAACGATTATCAGGGGAATCGAATGGGCCGTAAAAGATGCTCAGAATCGAGGCATTACAAAGACTGTTATGAATTTGAGCCTTGGAGGAGGGATTAGTCCAACTTTGGACTCTGCTGTAGAAGCTGCAGTTCAAGCAGGAATGGTTGTTGCGGTAGCAGCAGGTAACAATGGTGTAAGTTATACTCTCCCTGTTACTGGCCGCTGAAATACTTCTCTTATACACGTCTTCTATGTCAACGAACCTCTATCTTTTGACTGACATATAAATAGACAGATGCTGGCAGTGTCTCCCCGGCCCGTTCTCCGCATGCTCTAACTACAGGGGCAATTGATCAGACGGATACAATGCCTTGGTGGTCCAACTGGGGCCAGAGTAAGATCCCACCCTGAAGAAATAATGTTCTGATCTAACAGTCGTCAGTCCTTGACTTCAATGCACCTGGGGTAAATATTGTCTCCTGTGGCATTAGCAGTACAGATGCCGAGGCAACCCTGAGTGGAACTTCTATGGGTAAGTTTTGATTTCAAACTTAACCTAAATATCTTCTAAGGGCGCACTAGCCTCGCCACATATAGCAGGACTAGCTTCCTGCCTACGCCAGGATCCTCAATACGGTAACTTTCACCGGCTTGCATATGAACTACGCCTTCGTGCGGAAGGAGGATGCAAGCCTTATGCGGGGCATGAAGTCGGAACTCCTAATCTTGCTGCTGTTAACAAAACGGTTTATTAATTAATGTCTGCCGACAGTTTCCAGAAGCGGTAGGGAAAGTTGGAAAGAAAGTGAAACCAATTCTGTGTTTGCTTGCGGGCCAAAAGTATTTCCTTGGACTGTTGAGTTAAATAGTGTCTTGTCCTCTAAATTGAACACTATAGGACCTCCTACTGCCAAAAGTTATCATCATAAAAAAAAGTGGAATTGTCACAAGTATGAGGACAGGAAACAGTAAGTTCTTGTACAAGTGCGTCTCTATTCAATCCTGGTCAAGTTGTGTAGGATTGTGAGAATTGGTCACATAGCGGCATGTCTTCAAACTTTCGCATGCATTGGTCCGTGGAATTTGTCCGTAACCCTATTGTGATGAATAGTTTTGTTGATGTTGCTACATCTGGGCAGGTTTCAGGTGAACATTTGTAGCAGTTTTGGTGACCGCTAAGATATATGGTTACAGGGCCTGGATGATCTATCTTCTGGTGGTGCAACCTGACCGGGTTCCTGATCTTGATCATGTGATCTGAGCCTCTAGGATTCTGCTTCAGCAGCACCCGTTCGGTCATTTCGGGCCGTTATCTTGTATCTTTTTATTTCCTATCACAGGTAATTAGATTACCCCTACGGCTCCTGGTCTATTGGACAAATTCGAAAAAGTGTTTGGCTGGTTTGCAGGTCTAGAAATCAAGCAGATTCATGTGATAAGCTCTAGTCAATCTTAGAGTATTCAGTGAATCATCTTGAAGTGTAAAAAAACCCTCAACAGCAGCCTAACTCTATTTCGGACTAGGCTACGTGTACGGCGCTAGGAAAGAGCGAAAGATTTCACAAGTGTGTACTATGTGATCCAAACTTGCAAGGCACTGTACAAGGCTGCAACATCGTCGGTTGAAAGTACATCTCGGAACGCTCCTTTACTAATTCAGATGTTTCTTTGAACTGGTAAATACTTCGTGTAAATAATACAAACAGGGTTGAAGATTAAAGACGAAGCAAGAGACCAAGTACAAACAACGTATTAAATTAATGCTGCGGTCAATGTTAAGAGATCTCCGGCATGGCTACGGACAGGTGGTGGGACATCTTTTGCACGAAGATGACTGTTACTATCAGAAATGGAGCTTCCCTAGTCCGGATTTCACAACGCCATTCAGGGACCTGGTTAGTCAGGGAAGAAGGTTGATGAAGAATCTTCAAGACAAGACCTCAAAGAATCTATTGTACCCAAGATACTTGACATGGGAATCAGAGTATACATGTTAGGAGAGACTGGATGACCCTTCTTGCTTTTGCTACTAATCAGCCCGAGATTAAGCCGTGCTGCGGTGAAAAAGGGTTGTTGTCACAAGGCAGACCTGCCAGGACCAGGTATAGTTGTTTATAGACCTTGCAATGGGTCAGACTTGGGTCTAGTATATGAATCTATATTTGCAGGTAGGGTCTGAGCACTAGATCCAAAATCTGGATTTATTAATTTGTAGATTGTGGCGGCTACGGCGGCTGGTCAAATCAATGTTATTTAACTAATTTGATGCTATTATAAAAGAGTTTGAAATATGCAAAAAAGAAGAAGAAGAGAACTTATACTTATTGAAATAAGATCATTTAACCGAGAAGTAATTTCAATTAGAAGGCGATGCTATAAGGCTATGTCGGCTACAGAAAAAATCAATACAGTTCAGTAAGCCGGCGCTATAAATAGACTGAAGAGAGGTAAGTAGAAATAAAGATAAAGCCGCAATAATATATTATGTACTGGATTAAAATTCAGACTAATAACTACTAATGAACCACAGAAGAAATTTGCTGATGGTTATTTACTCAACTACTAATCCCCGGGCGTGTGGCTTAGGCACGGCCGAGCGGATGGGAAGCCCTGTTTTCCACACCCTGTGGTCGTATGTACCGGATATAAGTCTAGAGCAATTTATGTTTTTTGCGTCCTTACTCACTGACCAGCGGTCTTGCTCGGGTCCAGAATCAGAATGCTAGAAATCATCGAGCTGCTGATTTTAGATGTGCGCAGTAAGTTCTCAACCCGATCGCAGCGTCACCGGAGATTAGGGCATGTTCGCCACCGCCCGCTATAAGCACTTGTATCTCTACACGCTGTGGTCATACATGCTTGCACTGACAATACGAACCGTTGAGTAGAGGTTTAAAGTAAATAAGAGACATATCCTGACGCGCAGGTTGTTGAGCAATGAGCTAACGAACTACGAGTTAGAACCAGTGATGCCGAATAGCCTCATGCAAACCATGGGACGCGGCGGGAAGATAAAGAAGATCAACCCGTATCCCTGCGTCACCAACGAAGCTTGAGCTCAATGACCTCGTATTCGTGTTGTTGACTCTCCTTTGTGATTCAGAGACCTAGATGTAGATAAATGCCTTGCACCCTATGCTACGCTGCAATGGCGTCCCCTCCCCTCCGTAAGCTGCTGCTCGATTGAACACCGTCTCACCACCATGTCGCCCAGTATGTTGAATATGAGTACTGTCCAGGACCTCCGGGATCAGCTGCCTGACTCGGTCGTCCTTCTCCCTGGCTCGGAAGATTATCGTGCCTCGATCAGGCGCTGGTCAGATGGCGCAGAGAAGCCCGCAGTGTGTTTACCTGCCCCACTTTCGTTTGCCGACCGATAATAACCCTCTAGGCCCTCGTCATCCTCCCCAGCACCGAGAAGGACATCTCCACCGCCCTCACCTTTGCACAAACTCACGGAATGGACCTGGCCGTCGCAGGCGGGGGCCACTCCACGTCCGGCGCCGCCTCAACTGCGGGTGGACTGCTTCTCTCGCTCTCGCGCCTGCGCGGGGTCACTGTTGATCCGGAGACACGAACCGTCACCGCACAGGGTGGCGCGCTGTGGGAGGATGTCGACACGGCGCTGGGCCAGCACGGTCTCGTGACTGTCGGCGGGGTTGTCAACCACACCGGCATCGGAGGCCTCACCCTGGGCGGCGGCTACGGATGGCTGACGGGCCTGTACGGGCTGACGATTGACAACCTCCTCGCCGCGCGGATAGTCCTATCCGACGGCCGGGTTCTGGCCACCTCTGCGACCCTCCACCCAGATCTGTTCTGGGCGCTCCGCGGCGCCGGGCATAACTTCGGGGTGGTCACGGAATTCACCTTCCAGGCGTATGAGCAGAAGGATGAGGTCTTTGCAGGCTTGCTGGGCTTCACCCCGGACAAGCTGGAGCAGGTGGTCGGTTTTGCAAATGCGTTGGTCGCGGATGAAGGTCAAGGGGGCGATGGTCGATCGGCCATCTACTGCTTCCTGGCGGTGCCTCCGGGTGCGCCCCGGGGCACGGGGCCGACCATCCTCGCCGCAGTTGTGTCAATTACGAGTGAGGAAGAGGCAAGACGACGGTTCGCCCCGCTGCTCGAGCTGGATCCCGTCATGAATACCCTGTCGATGGTCCCCTACTGCCAGGTCAACGCGATGTTGAACGGGATTGCGGTGCATGGAGACCGGAAGAACACCAAGGGCTTCTCGTTCGCGATGCCGCTGCGGCCCGGGCTGGCGCGCTCGGTGCTCACGGAATTAGGGGCGATTCTCCAGGAGGCCCCGGCCTGGGGGAAGTCGTACATCGTGTTTGAATTTGGCCATCTCGGGAAAGTGGCCGCGGTCCCGCGGGGAGAGATGGCCTTTGCAAACCGGAGTCGGTGTCAGAATGGGGTCGTGCAGATCTGGTGGACGGATGAGAAGGATGATGCGCGCGCGGGGGAGAAAGGGCGACATCTCAAGGCGTTGATCACCGCTGAGGCGGAGAAAAGGGAGGGGGAGGAGGCAGCGGGTGCAGTGGTTTATTCTAACTTTGTCGAAAGTGAGTCGATGGTACCCTTTCAACATTCAATTCAACTATGCTGACTGGAAGTATAGCTGGCGACCGCAGTGTTGAGGAGCTATTTGGCGAGAATCTGGACCGGCTACGCCTGCTCAAGGCGAAGTATGACCCAACCAACTTATTCAACAAGACGCATCCACTCGCGAGTAGAAAGGATGCGGGTCAACTCGTATAACACACCGGGTTTGAGTAGTTGTGTTTCATGTCCTGACAGATGTTCGCTCTGTTGCTGTTCAATGTGTACTTTCAGGTCAGAATTCAAGTTCATTCTGCTCCCCTATAGAACTGCTATCTCCCACTATGATGAGACGTGCACTGAATAGGTTTACGATGCAGCTGGTTTGCGGGCCTATCATCAGGTTCACAATGGCTCATGCTTAGGGCTGATTCAAGCCCTCCTCGACTGTGGGCAGTGATGGACGAACAGCTCTTCTTTGACAAAAATTAGTTCCTAGATAGTAAACATCTAGAGCTTGTGTATTTTGCATTATGTTCAGTCCAGGGCTTAGGCACCACCAAGCAAACACGAGGTGCCATCTTCGACCCTCCCGGGTTGCGGGTAGGTGCCTAACATTTCCCCCAAACTAGGAATGTATAAACAGCATCAAACTATCCGAGTTCAAGCTTACAACTTGTTGTACATACACATCATTCTGCATTAAAACCATTAGTTCAACAATTGCTCCCCTCTAATTAAGTATAGACCAAATATTTGGACTTATGCCGATTGAGGGCCAGTCAACCTCGGTTTATTGCCAGGCTTTCAGCAGGCTCTGCCGATTGTCGTTGAGCCCCACATCGCCCCGGCCCGTGTATAACCGTGGTGGTCGTGACCCTTGATATTCCAGTGCGATGCAATATCACACCTGGCCTCTAGAAGCTACTAAGAATGACAGCATAAGAAGGGCTTTCAGTGAGCTCGGAGACGTGTCTCCAGCCAAAGAGCTAGGTCCCAATGTCTCAACTGCCTCTGCCTTTGCTCTTGCCCTTACCTGACTTTTCGGCCGTCATTCAGGGTGCGGCCCCACATTCCAGAAACGAGGCTAAATTTAAATTAGCAATAATAGTCGCATTAAAGCGTGCTGGACCCTGGCCTGGCCCTGCAGCCTGCAGATCGCTCCTCGCTTAACATCTGGCGCCGGCAATTTGAAGTCGTGATAAACTGCCGACGGGACCATCTCCGCGAGTCTCCACCTCAGCCAGGCAGATTTGTTTCACGTCGTAACATCCGCACACCAAGCAC